GAGAGCTGGATAGGAAGTGGAGCAGCCGGGACTTGAACCAATGCCCACATGAGATGCCAGCACTGCAGGCGGCAGTTTTATCCTCTACGCCACAGCGCCGACCTCAATAAGATCTTTAAAAAATAATTTTTACTTATTTATTTTTATTTGAAAGGCAGAGAGAGAGAGAGAGATGGATCTTCTGTCTACTGGTTACTCCCTGAATGCCTGTAACAGCAGGGGCTAGGCCAAGGAAAAGCCAGGTACCTGGAACTCAATCTTGGTCTTCCAGGTGGGTGGCAGGGACCAAAGTACTAAAGCTCTTACCTGCTGCATCTGAGGGTGTGCTTTAGCAGGAAGCTGGAACTGGAAGTAGAAATCAAACCTGGGCACTCTGATCTGGGTTGTGGGCCTCCCGAGTGGTGTCTTAACCATTACACCAAATGTTTATCCTTAAAAATAAAGATTTTTACTGTGCTGAAACCTTAGAACAATGGAGGCCAAATTACATCATGGAAAAATAAATAGATGTAGAAAAATGCTTCCAACCGAAATAGTCACTTAGAACTTTCCAGGAGGTTAAAAATAACTACTCAAGTCAAGGACTTAAGACTTTAATTAAAGAAAGTAAAATTAATTTCACTGAAATCTCAGAATTTGGCTTGCTAATCTCCATTTCTGGGTAAATAAAGAAACAGTGAGGAAAAGGGATTGGATAGCATAGGCACTATTTGAGTTCTTAAGGACCACAAATTTATGTTCTGGCCATGGGAAAAAGCTAACAGTGTCAGTGGAGTCACTCATTTATTCAAAAAGACATAATTGAGCAACTGGTTCCATGTGTCAAGGGTTATATCAACAGTAGGGGACACGGACACAGAAGGATTTATGTCCGAGCGTACGAAATTAGTGTGTAAACTGGGATGTAGTGGGACAATGGGAATGTAACCAAAGTGCCCAAGAAACCTGGGCAAATCAGCGACGGTGCTACAGAGTCTAAGGCAGTTGTTGAGTTGGGCTTGAGACTGAATAGGAGGGAGAAGGTGAGGAGTGTTGGGTTACAGGGGAGGCACGTTGGTGGGGATGTGCAAGAACGCGGGGTACCTCTGAAGCACGGACTGGGAGACTGGAAGAAGAGGCATGGTTTTTGAGGCTGGGCAGTCCTGCCTATTTTTCTTACGGGAGTACAGGCATGTGTGTGTGAGCAGGTGCTGAATGATGACACTGAGCAAGGAGGCTGGGATGAGACCACTGATATTTTTTCCTAATATATTTTTAAGTTTTATTTTTTAAGTTGATAAATAATTGCATATCATTATGGAGTACACCATGATGGTTCTGGGTGTATCCCTGTGGATTGGTCAAATCTGACTGATTAACATATCATACGCATTACCTCAACTAATGATTTTTTTTTTAACCACAAACAGCTATGAGACCTGGCTAAGTTTCTCTGAAAAACAGATATGGGGCCCAAAGCACTTTAGTGGGCATGGGTTATAACAGGGGGATCGCCTCTGTTTTATTCTATCATAATCAGGACTCTCCCGGTTCCCCACCACCCCAGCCTGAGAAGTTAGAAGCTGTACACCTGACCTTTTTCTCACTCGTCCTCCAGAATGAAGCCCATGAGAAGACCAGAGGGTTTATGAAAAGGCTTCCAGGCATTGTTATCTTTTCAAGGAACTCTAAGTTTTGAATTTTCTCAAATAAAATACTATAAAAATGTACACAGATTTCTTAAAAAATATTTTATTTATTTATTTGAGAGGTAGAGCTACCTCAGGGTCTTCCATGCTGGTTAGGGGCCCAAACACTTGGGCCATCTTCCACTGCTTTCCCAGGCCATAATCAGAGAGCTGGATCAGAAGAGGAGCAGCCTAGGCATGAATGGGAATTCTTATGGGATGTCAGCATTGCAGGTGGAGGCTAAGCCCATTACGCCACAGTGCTGGCCCCAGAACAGAGGACAATCTAACAGAGGAAATCTAAACTTTTTCCTTCTCTCTTTGTGGGGTCTTGCAATGAACAAGAGCCTTCCCAGATCTAATAAAATGGACATCAATCCCAAACAATGCCTAATATGATGACCATAACCAGCAAGCAACATTTGTTAGTGGTCAAACACTGACATGTTCTCAATCAAATCATTAATCCAGATAAAGTTGCCTACTCCTCTGTAGCTGTTTCTCTAAGGATTCCTACTCTCTCAATCACTCCAGCTAACCTCTGGGCAATTTCACTTGCTCCAAAGGCTTTGATCTTCCCATATGCTAAGGATAGCTATTCTGTTACTTCCTTATAACCTAATTCTCCTCCTTTGCAAACCATCCTGGCTAACCTTTATCCACCAGCATCTATTCCTTTATCTCAAATTCTTTCCCTTGAAATCCTGCCACTTCTGACCTCTTACATAAGACTTGAATTCATCTGCTTATCTCTATCTCAGACATCGCTACTCTAAATGGAGACAGTCTCCTTTCACTAGCACAAACCCAACAGATTAACTGGTTTACAATCGTAATCTCTTCAATCCAGTCTTTCATCAGAGCGGTTGTTCTAAAGTGCAGAAGTCATCATCCCTCTCCACTGCCGATAGTTTGTTTCTGCGCGATGTCATGAAAGTCCAAACAGGAAGAGCCTCAGGTTCTACCATGGTTGATCCATCACAGCTCACCTCTGCTGTTGTTTCCATTGGAAACAAACAAACAAACAAACAGCACAGGGGTGGTGGTGGGGCAAGCTTTTGTGGCATAGTAGATAAGCTGGTTTTGGACTAGCCCAGCCATGGCTTGTTAACAGATATTTGAGGAGTGAGCCAATGCATAGAAGAGCTCTCTTCTGTCACTCTGCCTTTCAAGTAAATGAAAATAAATAAACTATAAAATAATAATATTAATTATAAGAAAAGCAGCTAATGCAGATGTTTAAGTGGAAAAGGAACCTCAGGGAGAATGACTGAGCTCATGGACAATGCAAGGAGCAGTTTAAGCCTAACAATCCACTGGATTTTTCTTGCTAAAGTGGTCTTAATCAGCTTAGAGCCACTAAGAGTTTCTTCCCACCTCCAGGCTCTGCTGTGGATCTTCTAAAGGTGTTGGGCAGTATTCTAGGTGCTACCCACAGCCTTTCTTTCTGGCCTGCTTTCCTTTGCTTACTTCTGTTTTACCTACCTTTCAGTTAAACTTTGCTGTGGATTTGGCACTTGGAATATACCTTCTTGCTCTGTATCCTACGTAGTCCTGTATCTAGGCCCTAGCCTAGACCAACCTCATAGCCTTCTCTGGCCTAACTGGACAAAAAATAAAAGTCTCTGAGGGCTATAAAGCACACAGGCTTTGTAACACAGTGAAACAATTAATAACTCCCGATTTTGCAACTTCCAAGTAATTAATGATTTAAGCAATGGTCATGACAACATTATGAAAGATTGATGGGGGTCTTTATAAATTAAGGGAACAGAGGCTGGCATTGTGGTACTGTGGGTTAAGCCACCGACTGTGACACCAGTATCCCATACGGGGGCCAGTTTGAGTCTCCTCTGCTCTGCATCTGATCCAGATCCCTGCTAATGGCCCTGGAACAGCAATGGAAGGTTGCCTAAGTGCTCAGGCCCCTGCACCCGTGGGAGACTTGGATGAAGTTCCTGGCTCCTTGGCTTTGACCTGCCATTGTAGTGATTTGGGGAGTGATGGAAGATATCTTCCTCTCCCTAACTCTGCCTTTCAAATAAGGAAATCTTTAAGAGGTGGGGGGAATGAAGGGAACAGCCATTGCCATCTGAACTCACTGATCTGTTGTAGGATCACAATAGTGACAGTCAGATAATACTTGTCTCCTGATAGGGTGCACCACAAAGTACATAATGTTCTTGCCTGCAAAAGCTAAGACCTGAATGGAATTCACCCTTCACAGTTAATCTTCAGTAAGTGAGAAATTAGAGTAGAAGAATAACATAGATACCACCATAAGGAAACCAATACAAAGAACGGGACATTCTATATAACTAACTCAGTTGCTTTATCAGATCCATGCATGAATGGTGGAAAGGGAATTGAATGCAGATATCAACCAACTATTACGTGTGGACTCTGTGTAGATACTGGACAAACCAACCACAAAAAGACATTTCTGAACCACTTGGAAAAACTGCAGTATGGATTGGGTGTTGAAGCAACCATAAGATTACTGTTCTGTCAATTTTGTAGGATATGATGATAATGGCATTGCAGCTACAGGAAACAAGTTCACCTGCTTAAGGGATGCACATTTAGGTATACAGTAGTGAAATAACCTGGTGGCTGAGGTCTGCTTTAAGTACTTCAGGCACATAAAGAGATGTTAAATGGGGACAGAAGAAGCAAGTATAGCAAAGTCTTGATAATTACTGGCATTAGTTAATAGACGCTGGGGTTCATGACACTAGTCTTTATACTTCTGTGTGTTTTTGAAATTTATAATAAGAAAAAATTAAAGATGTAAAAGTAAAGACAAGTGGGTATTTCGAGACCAAAAAGTCTGAACAGCAGTTGAAAAAACTTATTTCCATTATGCTATCATTTAAAAACAAGTGTGGTGCCCTGGGTTAAGCCGCCACCTGCAGTGCCAGGATTACATCTGGGTGCCAGTTCAAGACCTAGTTGTTCTATTTCTGATCCAGCTCCCTGCTAATGCACCTGGGAAAGCAGCAGAAAACGGCTCAAGTGCTTGAGCCCCTGCACCCACAAGGGAGACCCAGAGGAAGCTCCTGGATCCTGGCTTTGGCCTGGCCTAGCTTTGGCTGTTGCAGTCATTTGGAGAGTGAAATCAGCAGATGGGTGGTCTCTCTGTCCCTCTCTCTCCCTCTCTGTAGGCCTTTCAAATAAATAAATTAAAAAAAAATAAAAACAACTGTGAAGCTACTCTATTAGACTTCTTAAATAAGATGTTCTTATCCATTCACATTCATTTTGTGAGTCTTTTTAAGGCACCCCTGCATATTTATTGCCAATGAATTTCTATGTTGGTAAATGAGAAATTACCTGTTGTCAATAATCATTACACTGGAGGGTGGGATTCCCAAAACACCACAGCTCTGCAAGAGTTCTTTCTTACGAATCTCCCCTTGATTGTAGTAGTTTCCTGAGGATAACAAATACAGAGTAGCAGATTTCTTTAACAGTGGGGACCTGCCTCTCCATGAATTCTTATACCATCTTATGGATTTAAGATATGTGCAGTTATGATAAAAAAAATTGAGGAAAAGGTAATGCTAAGGTTATTGGAAGATGCTCTTGTGAGAAGACTACCAGCAGCACACTCTTTAGAATCACCATTCCTAAGTTCTCTCAATCTCTCATTGCTGCATTTCAGCCACATGCAAGAGGAGGCACAGTATGTCACCGACAGTACTGGCTTCGAGGTAGGCAAACATAGGATCCACCCTTGTGTAACCGCTTAGAACAACTGAGGTAGTTGGGTACTCTCTGGGTTTTGGCCTCTATAAATTGATAGTTCTCAAATATGTTTAACATTTATTGAAAGAACAGGGTGTTTGTTACTCCTGAATATTATAGGAAAATGCACAAGCACCATTTAGGAAAATACTCATATTTATTTATTTTTCACGAAAAGATGTATTTGAATGGGAGATAGAGAGAGATATCAATCTTCCATCTATTGATTCACTCCCCAAGTAGCCACAGTAACCAGCTCTGGGTCAAGAACCCCATCCAGGTCTCCCATGAGGGTGACAGGGACCCAAGTCCCTCCCAGGCACATTGGCAGGGAGCTGTGTTAGAGGTAGAGCAGCAGGGACTCAACCAGCAATTGGTGGCTTAACCTGCTGCGCCACAGTGCTGGCCCCAAATATCTTCTTTTCATTGAAGAGTTCTGGACTCAATGGTGAGCATTTGTTTAGCTCAGGTAGCCCATTAATTCAACTCTCCATAAATGACTGCATGTGTGATTTATCCAAGTTCCTTAACTCTTCAGTCCCAGTTTCTTCACCTGCAAAGCGGGGCTAAAGACTACATTAGCCTTGGGGCCGGTGCTGTGGCACAGCAGGTTAACACCCTGGCCTGAAGCGCTGGCATCCCATATGGGCGCCAGTTCGAGACCTGGCTGCTCCACTTCTGATCCAGCATTCTACTATGCCCTGGGAAAGCGGTAGGAGATGGCCCAAGTCCTTGGGCCCCTGTACCCGTGTGGGAGTCATGGAGGAAGTTCCTGGCTCCTGGCTTTGGATCAGCACAGCTCCAGCCCTTGCAGCCAATTGGGGAGTGAACCATCAGATAGAAGACCCCCCCGCCTCTCCTCTCTCTGTATTACTCTTTCAAAAATAAATAAATAAATCTTTAAAAAAAAAAAAAAAAAAGACTACATTAGCCGGCTTTCTGGCGGATTAGATAACACAAGCCAGAACGCCCAGGGAGGGATTGTGTACCTTTTCTCTTCCCTCTCTTCCTAACTTACAATTCACGCAGATCAACTCTCATTTCCTTTAGGTGGCCTTCTCCTACTTTCCCTGGCAAGGAATCATTCCAGTTTTCTGCCTGTAAGTATGAATTGCTCTCCCTGGTTAATTTTTAAATGTCATTGACCTTAAAACGCCCGGTCTCACTCAGCTGTGTATTGTCTCCATTCTCCAGCATACTGCAGGCACTCATGAAACACTGAGAAGGCTCAGCTTAGCCTTGTAGGTCAGACAAAAACTCCCAGGAGAAACTTTTAAACTTTGGTAAGTCTTCTTCTGGTGCTGACTTTGAACTATTTGAACTCTGGAGTCAGTCATTACATTGTATCCAACAAACTAACCCTAAAAAGACTACAGACAATACATTTAATTTTTTTTGACAGGCAGAGCTAGATAGTGAGAGAGAGAGAGACAGAGACAAAGGTCTTCCTTCTGTTGGTTCACCCCCCAAATGGCCACCACGGCCAGTGCGCTGCGCCAATCCGAAGCCAGGTGCTTCCTCCTGGTCTCTCTTGCGGGTGCAGGGCCCAAGTACTTGGGCCATCCTCCACTGCCCTCTCGGGCCACAGCAGAGAGCTGGACTGGAAGAGAAACAACCGGGACAGAATCCAGCGCCCCAACGGGGACTAGAACCTGGGCTGCCGGTGCTTTAGGCGGAGGATTAGCCTACTGAGCTGCACCGCTGGCCAATACATTTAATTTTGTATTGTATGTATCACACTTTTTGAGTTTTCATTGATTTTCACATCAGATTAAAAACTATAGTCAGTTTTGTGATGGACATTTTATTTTGGGAGCCATATACCATACACATATACACAAACTATATTTCCCTGCCCCCTGCTTTGTTTAAAAAGATTGATATTTGATGATACATGAAAGGTCTAGTGTGTACACTGACCATACAATTCCTAAATTCAGAGGCTTGTCCATTGGTGGGTGATTATGCTTATTAGAAACTGCTTAAAAATTAAACTAGGGGCAGGTGTTTGCCATGGTAGTTAAGACACTGCTTGCTTGGGATGCTCATATCCAGTATTGGAAAACGTGGGATCAAGTCCTGGCTCTGCTTCTGACTCTAGCTTCTTGCTAATGTGCACCCTGGGAGGTAGCAGAAAATGGCTCAAGTAGTTGGGTCCCTGTCCCCCTCACTCCCTGGCCCCCCAAGAGAGGGGACTCAGATTGGGTTCCAGGCTCTTGGCTTTGGCCTGGCCTGGCCCTAGGCATTTGGGGAGTAAACCAGCAGATGGAAGGTCTTGTCTCTCTTCCAAATAAAATGAAAATAAATAGGAGATTTCCCATTAAAAATAAAGTAAAATAAAATAAAGTGGAATTTTTAAAGATTTACTTATTTATTTGAAAGTCAGAGTTACACAGAAAGAGAAGGAGAGGCAGAGAGAGGTCTTCTATTCGCTGGTTCACTCCCCAGTTGGCGCAACCGAAGGAGCTGTGCTGATCCGAAGCCAGGGGCCAGGAGCTTCCCTTGGGTGTTCCCACGTGGGCACAGGGGCCCAAGGACCTGGGCCATCTTCTACTGCTTTCCCAAGCCATAGCAGAGAGCCCGATCGGAAGTGAAGCAGCCGGGACTCAAACCGGTGCCCATATGGGATCCTGGCACTGCAGGTGGCAGCTTTACCTGGCCCCTGGAATTTTTTTTTTGACAGGCAGAGTGAACAGTGAGAGAGAGAGAAACAAAGAGAAAGGTCTTCCTTTGCCATTGGTTCACCCTCCAATGGCCGCCGCGGCTGGCACGCTGCGGCCAGCACACCGGCTGATCCTGGCCCCTGGAATTTAAAAAATATGGGAGGGGGTCAAGTATTTGGTACAGAGGTTAAGATGGCGGTTGGAGTGCCTGGGTTTGAGTGCCAGCTCTGCTTCCAATTCTAGCTTCCTGCTAAAGCACAGCCTGGCAAGCAGCAGATGAAGGCTCAAGCACTTGAATCCCTGCCACTCATACGGGAGACCCAAATTGAGTTCTGGGCTCCTGGCTTCAGCTGTTGCAGGCAATTGGGGGAGTGAACCAGCGGATGGAAGATTTTTATCTCTTTCAAATAAAATGAAAAAAAAAAGTATTTTTTTAAATGGACAAAGGACTTGAATAGAGATTTTCAAATACAGATAGCCAATAAGCATGTGACAAGATGCTAGCCATTGTTAATTGTTAGCAAAGTGCAAATCAAAACTATAAGAAGATAATTTCATACCCACTAGGATGGCTATAGTTAAAAAAAATGGAACATTACAAGTGTCAATGAGGATGTGAAGAAACTGGAACCCTAGCGCACTGATGATGAGAATGTAAAGCAGAGCTGCTAAGGAAAGCAGCTCAGTAATCCCTCAGAAATTTAAATATAAGAGAGACCGGGCACCGTAGTGTAGCAGGTCGAGTGCTGGTTGGAGTCCCAGCTGCTCCACTTCTGATCCAGCTCCCTGCCAGCTGGCCTGGGAAAGCAGTGTAAGATGGCTCAAGAGGCAGTGCCGCGGCTCACTAGGCTAATCCTCCACCTAGTGGCGCCGGCACACAGGGTTCTAGTCCCGGTCGGGGCACCGGATTCTGTCCCGGTTGCCCTTCTTCCAGGCCAGCTCTCTGCTGTGGCCCGGGAGTGCAGTGGAGGATGGCCCAAGTGCTTGGGCCCTGCACCCCATGAGAGACCAGGAGAAGCACCTGGCTCCTGCCTTCGGATCAGTGTGGTGCGCCGGCCGCAGCGTGCCAACTTGGGCCCCTGCAATCCACCCAGGAGATGCATATAAATTTCCTTGGATTTTGCCCACCACAGCCCCAGCTAAGTTGTGGCCACTTGGGGAGTGACCCAGCAGATAGAAGATCTGTCTCTCCCTCTCTAACTCTGCCTTTCAAATAAATAAATAAATCTTTTTTTTTTTTAAATTAAACACAAAGTGATCCTATGCATAATTCAGAAATTATATTCAGAATTTTACTCAAAGGAATTGAAAATTAGTTCATGGACACATGTTCAATCAGTGTTCATAGGAGCATTATTCAAAATAGCCAAAAAGTGGAAACCACCCCAGTGTGTATCAAAAGGTGGGTGAATAAGTAAAATGTGGCTTATACGAATACACAAAATGGATTATTCAGCCAGAAAAAGGAGTAAGTTCTGGCATGGATGGACCCTGAAAAATTATGCTAATTAACATAAACCAGACACACAATGACAATTCTTGTATGATTTCTCTTTAATGAGGAACCTAGAAAAGTCTAATTCACAGAGACAGGCTGGGGGTGGGGTGGGAAGGAATGGGGAGTTATTGCTTAATAGGTGTAAAGTTTCTGTTTTGGATGATGAAATAGTGGTGATGGTTACACAATACTGTGAACCTACTTACTGCCACTAAATCAAACACATCAAAATGTTGAAAATAGTAAATTTTGTTATGTATATTTTACCACAATTAAAAAACATTTAAAATGGCAAACTTTGTTATATTTTACCACAATTAAAAGAATGTTAAAAAAACATATTTTCACTGGACAAAATCTTTCATTCACGAATTATTACTATAAAACAGAATTATATCCTTAAAATTGGTAAACCAATTCTTAAAAGGATCATTAAAATAAAAAAAATTGAAAAAACTATGGAGCACATCTCTGTAGCCAAAATCAACACACTTCCAGATGCTGTTATTAACCAATAAACCATTC